ATACAATTTTCAATAGTAAATTTTAAGTTGCGCATTTTTTTATATCCTCAATATGACTAACCAAAAACAAATTATTCATGCGTGTTCAAACTTAGTTCTAACGTATTAGAGATCTGTGAAAAAATTTGTATAGCATTTGGGGAAGATTTCCTTTATGTAATAAAGGAAAAGTTGCTCGAAATTGGCTTTCCAAAAGTTTGCTTCAGGTAATGAGAACCTTGAAGATCTCGGTCTGGAAGGCCACTTTCCTTGAATAATGAGAATTTGAGAATTGCAATCGAGATAAATTTAAACATTAAGCTGCAGAGAACTAATTGCTAGTACATTTAATGTTAATGAAAAAATCATAAAATATGTTTCTTCAGTTTTTCATATAGAAAACGGCAAAAACTTTTTTGGACACCTGATATATACATCCGAGAAGCCAAAAAAAGGGGAATGAAGAAAATATTTCTCAAAAATTAATTATATACATAATCTCGCACAAATAATTTTATATATTTTTATACATTTTTTTGTTCAAATCATTTTCCTTATTGAGTTTTTATTAATTGATTAATAGGTTTTAAATATCATAAAAAAATTTTTTTAGAGACTAAGCAATGAAGGGACTCATGCAATAAAAATCAGTTTGGTCTGTGCTCCAAATTTTAATATTATTTAATTTATACGTTATAATAAGAAAATTTTCTGTAGCGAAAAAATTTAATATCTCATGCGGAATTATATTTTAAGACATAAACAAAACAGCTTGTCTCTGTTATGTCTTTGAGAAAAATATCTGTTTTGCAAGTTCTTTGAAATTTCTTCGATCGTTAAAGCAGCGGCAGATTTTTTGAGAGCATGTCCATCGACTCTTTCAGCTGCTCAAGTTCCTTCTCGCGTACTAACGGAGATTGATGATAGTCGGCGAATTGGCGAATTGGCCCGACACCGAGTATCTTTGCATGGAATTGGATTATAATGGCATCGATTCGTATATGAGAGACCGTACTTGTGGTCATTCGTTATGTGCCTCTTTAAAATTAAATCAGTCGCTTTTCACGTTTCTTGCGGATCTCGCAACGTACCAAGGTACATGATTTTGTAAAAATTACATGTACCTTGTGCCGAAGAAAAAGAATCTGAGGAAATAAGGATTAGCTAATCACGAAAAAGATTTCCGCTTTTTAAATTTGACTAACTACCTGCGTACGAAGAACTATTTCTTTAGAATTTGCCTCGAGAAAATAAGAATGCAGATAGTTTTGCTTCGTTGTTCTGTATTACTTTTCGGGTCGGTATTATTTCATTTAGAGTTCCATTCTATCTTATTTACAAAGAAACTTTAAAATATATTTTAGGTATCATAGAAAAGCGTTTTAAATCAGTTCCCTTACAGAAAAATCAATTCAATATTAAAAAATAATGATTAATTACTCATTCATTACTTAAAATTTGAAAGCACAGAATAACAGATTTTTAATACTCAAAATAAGTAGTTATCTACTTTTCAGTATTAAATTTCTATAAGAGTTGTGATCTGCCGTTCTTTTATTTGCATGAATTATAGATTGTATCCTCTCTAAATTCTTTGAAATGGAATCTTACTTTTGAAAAAAATAACTTAAGTTTCAATCTTTAAGAATGAGATTTTTTTACTCTACTACAAAGTGAGATTCACTTTAAAAGTTTTAGACAGTCTCCTAAATCTCAAAAAATTTATTTCATGTGACACCAGTTGTCTCATAACATATGCGAATGTACGTTGAACACCCACTATTGGCCCACTTGAATCCTCAGAAATCCGAGAACACCGTGAATGCGGAGGACTTCGCGTGGTGAAAGGATCTTCGCATCCGCGATACGCCTCATCACCTGGCCCACACGATGGACCACCGTGTGGAACCTACTCGCTTGGGCAACGGTGAATGAATAAATTAAATGCTCGCGTATTAATCGATCGTGCCGGCGTTTCTCGGTCTCAGAAATTGCCGGTTCGCCTCCGGTGCGCCGTGGTCGGATCGCCTCCCTCCAGTAGCCAAATCGGCCACAACTGTTCGACGGGCTCTGTAATTTTCTCGCCGCTCGATACATGCCCACGTGTTGTGTACGCGCGAGCTTGGTATTGTAGGTTGCACGTAAAGGTGTGGACCTTATACGCGTGCAAATGTTGATCGTCATCGAGAAAATCAACGACCGATGAAGGACGCGCTTACCGACTCACGAATGAATTAAGATCCTTTTCTCTTTGCTTTTTCTTCAAGTTTAAAATAAAAAATACATAAATGCTAAAAAAAAGATCATTTTAACTCTCCGGAGCTGACGTCAAAAGCTATAACACAGTTACTGACACTTGATTTTGTGAGACCTATAATACATATTGATTAAAATTATTAAAAGTACTAATTAATTTTCAAGAACTAAAATGACATATCAAAAAGAGTAAATACTAAGCTTTGTTTAAAATGAAAAGGACTGTATTTATATTTTAGCTTAAATTTAAGACTATGTTTCAAGACAGTTATTTGAACTGGAGATAAATTTGATCGAATATACTCGTAACCTTCTTTATTTACTTGTGTTGAACATTTTTCGGTCAATTTTCACTTAATAGATTTACTTTAATATAATCCAAATTTTAAATGATGTAACATAAAAAAAATTGTTTGATATTGTTCAAAATGGCAATGGCTACGGTAATAGATGCAAGAATAAAGAAATAAATTCAAATAGAGTAATGTACTTTTTATCTCAATGTTACTTCAGAAAAGCTATTGTATTGGATCAAACAAAAGTTTATAGCGCTATTTTATTTGTCTCATGTCTACAAGTTTTTAAAAAAATTTGGCAATTATATCATTTGATAAAACAAAATTTCGACTTTAACAATCTATTTTTTAAATTATGGTACAACGATTTTTGGCGGAATTGAGCAATCAAAGTGAAAATTCTCTTTTATTTATTCCGTGATAACAGTAATAAAAAATCTTAGTAGCATTTTTAAAAAACGATTTAAGGAATACTTTAAGCTTTTACGTTAAAAAGTCGAAAATTTTTGCAAGTTTTTTTAAGCGCGTAACAAATTCATGAAGTAAGCAGAAAATTTTTTATTTTCTCATTTCGTAATTCTCTATGCGTAAAAGTTATCAAATTCACAGGAACTCCAAAGATATAGTAACTTTTCAAAACATTTTACAGATTAAAGATCTTAAGTTTTCCAGAATCCTTATCTTAAATTTAAATTTCATTTGTTTTTAACAAAATTACAGCTATTTAAATTTTGAAGTTTGTAACACTAAAACTTTTATTTTGATTTCTGATCTAATATCTTTATTCATCAAAATCTTTGTTAGTCAAACAATCATTGTAATGAATCCAACAAAGACTGACTCATTGTCAGTTCCAACAAGTTAAAAAGAAATTTTTAGCTATATGTATTACAGTAATCAAAATATGTATAAACCGCAATTAAAGTTAAAAGAGTTTAATAAGAGAGAGAGATATACGTATATTAAAAATATACGTATATCTGAAATATATGTATCAGTTTGACAGATATTGATAAGTAAGTGCCATACTTGCGGGAAGTTAAGGACAAGGAATTTCTGTGTCATGTATCATAAAGAAATTCTCACCAAACACGGATACAAATTAATACTGAAGTGGAAAGGAGGGATGTCTTCCTATTTTGCTGACAAGAAAAATGAATTGTGCACAGACACGAATTTATCCTGAGATTATCTGAGGAGCTGCTAAGTCGGCAAAGATGAAAGGAACTACAGTTGAAAGGAGGGGAAAGAGGATTCTTGCGTTCGTAAGTCGATCGCTCTGACGGTCGGACGCCCGTCAAAAAAATAGAGAAACTGGGGCAAAAATAACACAACCTCACAGAGGGTGAGGAATGAAAAGGGACACCGTCTATTAAGCGCCCACGAAGTTGTGAACATACGAGTCGGGCTGCTGTAGATGTCGAGATGAAGTGACATCTATGTTTACCGGACGTATCGAATTGTTTTTCTCGCATATAAAATGCATCGCACGCTATAGATATGCGTGTAATTCGAGGAGTGTCAACTTTAGGCGAGAAAGGTATATGACATTTTAACAAATGTTGAAGGTAAACGCCACGAAAGTGAATGATAAAGGTACTGTAGATCTCATATATACAGTTAGAGCAAAAAGTATTCGTACAAGGAAATTTGTTATAAAAAAAAGCCTTATTTGTAAAAAATAAATATTAATTAGCAATTTTATACAATAAAAACATTCTGTTCTAACATAAATAAATAAGCTTTGCATGTATTTCTGATTTTAGAAGTTAAATTATTTTTCGTCTGTATGAATACTTTTTGAGCATTCACACAATACAATTTTTAATTTTTGCTTTTTTTTTTTTTTCAGATGATATATTTTGTATAATTAATACACATCTTTTTGGTATATATAATTTTAAGAAACATACAGTCTATTTTCTTTATGAATAAATTGTTAATTATCCAACAAAAAATGATCGTCAATTAAACGTCGAACCGACGTCAAATTAATGTTGAAATCATTGTATTTATATTGATTCGACATCAATTCGACATCAATTCGATGACTCATTTGTTGCTGGATAATATTTATTTTTAAAAATAAAGTGTTTTTAAAAAATATTTTCTTTGTACAAATACTTTTTGCACTTATGTATCACAGGAAATCGAAGTAATACGTTACCTGTAACGTCGTTACCATTCCAATTGTTTTCTTGATAACGTACTAGTAATGACATTAATTTTTTTTTATAACTACAACATAGTTATATTTTTTTGTAATAATAACGAATTTTACAATTATTACTTTTATTGTTACTTTTTATCTTTTAAATCTATTTATAATAAAAATTGTTATATATTCAATCTTTAATCTTTGGCCAAATTATATAATTTTTTCTTACATCAAAATCATTTTAAGTAATATCTTAAGATTAAGATAATAATACGGCTCAATTTGTGATTAGTTTGTGACGTCTTAAGAATGCCATAAATCACAAAACTGTATTAACAAACTGTAAAAACGAACTTTATAAATACTGAGAATACCGATTTTTAAGTTTGATGGCATGTACTACAAAATTTATTGTGAGAAATATCACTTTACCGAAGTGTGTTTTAAGACCACAAATATTTAATCGACGCGTTGTTTGTATAACAACATATGCATAAAATATGTAACACGTATAAATTTATTTTGAAATATTATGTACAAAGCTGTAGCTCAAAGCAAAAAAGCAATTTAATTCTTATAATTGATTGTGTTTTCACACATCGCGATCTAATATTCGGGCGAGTAACGGCATGGATGTATCTAGAGAAGGATTTAAAGGTTTGAACCCCTCCGAAATTTTGTATTAACTATTTCATTTTGAGAGCGTTACACTAGCGTACATCTTGATAGCACACATCCACTCACATCGATTGATACCTAATAAGTTTTCACTGCTTTATTAATGAGAATATTTTATTTTGAATTAGTAACAATGTACTTTATTCGTGAATGTATCGTGAAATTTTTTTCGGGGAGGGGGGGAGGGGAGGGGTTTCAATTAACCCAAGAATGTACCGTGCACCAATCGAAACAACAAAACAATAAAAATTTTGCTACTGTACTAAAAAAAAATGTTACTGCACCAATTTTGTCGTTGTAATTTACAAACATTATTGTTTATAAATATGATATATAATTTTTAACATCAATAAATTCCATTTAAATATTTTTACAACTTTTAATATCTTCTCGTTTTTAAAGAGGAAAAATATTATGTTTTATACATCATGTAACTTTTACTTCTTTTTTTAAAGAATTTTTTTTTAGAAAGGCAATACTACTAAGAATATATCATTATATTATAGCAAATATTCTATTTTTCGCACAGGACAAAAATTTTACGAAAATTTTTTCTACGAATCCCATATTTTGTCAAAGCTTAAACGAACAGAAGTATTAATAATTACTTATATGGTCTTATAACGAGAAAAAAAAATTTTATGTAACAGTAAAAAACTCACACAAAGTCAAAAGTTGTATGTTCTTTACATTTAAAAACGAAAGAGAGGAGTTCGATAGAACATGTACAGTCGATTACAGATAGGTTGCGATATTTTTTTTTCGATGGGTTTCGAAAATACGGTTTGCTCACCGAGTGATTGGTTCTTACATATGGATCTGACAATTTAGGTTCAATCGATCAATTGTACATAGCTAATTCAAAATAAAATATTCTCATTAGTAAAGTAATGAAAAATTAGACACTAACCAATGTGAATGGATGTATGCTATCAGAATGTGCACTAACGGGACCCTCTCAAAATAAAATAATTAATAAAACATTTCGGGGGAGGGATTTGAACTCTTAAAACCACCCCTCTCAGATACACCCATGACTGTATCGAATTCATCTCTTTCATTTTTAATTGTAAAAAACATACAATCTTACTTTTGACTTTGTGCGAGTATTTTGCTGTTACATAAATTTTTTTTTTTTTTTCGTTATAAGATCATATAAGTAATTTTTAATACTTCTGTTAGTTCGAGCATACAATAACAATATTAAAGAATCAAACATTTTGCTCGTAGTAACTGTATTGTTTTTCTTTAAAGAAAAGTCTTTAAAAAAAATAAATAAAATTACATGATGTAACTTTATTTACACAACATAACATTTTTCTTGTTCAAAATGATACGAGAAGACATTAAAAACTGTAAAAATATACAAATGGAATTCATTAACGTTAAAAATTGTTGTAAATGTCACAACAACATTAAAAATTAGTGCAGTGATATTTTTTTTAATACAATAGTAAAATCTCTCCCTTTTTTGTCCTCATTCTGTTTACCGTATGGTATATATCTCTGGGTTGATATAAAACCTTGAAAAAAGTTCCACGATATCCACCCAATGAGTAACGATAACTAATTGCTTTTAAAAAATAACTTTCCATTCCCCCAGTCAAATCGTACAATATTAGCCACAATACTCATTTCGTCTTGGCGTTTCGTCGGAAGGAAATGATTATTTGCGAAGTCCTGGCGGAACTTTCGTCGAAGTTATTTCTGACCATTCATCACACGTGGATGTGGCACGATTATGGACTCAGGTTTGTTGGATCACGTCGTCGCTCGCACTATTTCCATCTGTATGCAGAGAGGTGTCGGTAAATTCAAGAAGCACGACAAAGAGAGAAAGTAAACAAGAGAGAATGAGAAAGAGATATAAAAAGAGAACAGAATGACCCGCAGGCGAAGGTGGATAAAAAAAAGGCACGACGACGGGCCGGGAATAGAGTCCGTGTCGAATTTGCAGTCAAGACGCGGCCCGTCTTGACGTCGGGCGTCGTCGCCCGATTAGTCGCGCACCATGTTAACTTGAGCCCCAAGAACGGTCTCGACGACAATCCCGAAATACACATAGCGACAGATTATAAATTTTGGCACCATTATGTAAATGTATAAATTACATCTTATCCTTTTTTCAATTTTAATATGTCTTTTTGTAGGAAAAACGAGTTCTGGATCCGACTGCGAGAGCGAACCAGGGATTACACTGAAAAGAAAACAGCGCAGAAGCAGAACGACTTTCACGGCTCACCAATTGGATGAGTTGGAACGAGCATTTGAGAAGACTCAATATCCTGATATCTACGTCAGAGAGGAACTTGCCCAGAGGACAAGATTGTCAGAAGCTAGGATTCAAGTATGGTTTAGCAATAGAAGAGCTAGACTACGGAAGCATATCTCTTCGTCAACGTCTACTGGATACGTCAGTTCTGTAGCTTATCCAACAAGCTATGTTATTCATCCACCGGCACCGCCTTCTCACGCAGGAGCTGCTGTGCCGCCAGGTCATCCGCATCAGCATCCGCATCCTCAAAGTCTGCCAGATGCGTCATTCTCTTCCGGTCAAGGTATATATGCATATATATTATGTTTACATACCTTAACCTTAATCGATGACAATAAACATATTATGTCTACTTTAACTTTACTACTTTACTAATTTACTCATTTTTATTATAAAACATAATACAAGAACGAGATAATCTGTTACGTTCTATTTCAGTTTCCGAATTGTATTCATCTCATGCATCAGTGACTCATCAATTGGAACCAGCGACACGACTATCATCGACCGTTGGATCGACTTCGACTTATAGCTTCCCGGCCACAGTTACTTATCCCAATCTATCCGTATCGTCCAGCTATCAGCAAACAAGTAATCAACAACTACCGCCGACTGCGAACTCTCTCGTCACCATGATGGGACCGAATTCAGGCAATTCGACATCCGCTCCCGATCAATTAGCTTCGTCGGAACTCCCTATCAGCTCGGTTTCACCTCCTCAACAGCAGCAGCAGCAGCAACAACAACAACAACAGCAACAGCAAACGCAACAGACTAACCAAGGAACTACATCACCATCCTGGAATCTTGCAATAACGGCTAGCGGCAGTAGAGTCAATCTATCAAGTCCTCCAACAAGTCTGCAACAATCTCACGTCTATAGCGCACACCCGCAAGCTTTTGCTAGCCCTTATACTGTGCAGAGTTTTCAACAACCACCTAGGCCAGCGCCACAGACCTTCTGGTATTAAAGTATGAAATAGTTAAAATAAGAAGCATCAAACGCTTCTTTTTTGCGAAGATAAAATTTTTTATCGTTATTATTGTATCAATAGTTAATATTCAAAGGAGACTGTTTACATTAGAGATGGTTTCTCTTATTTTCATTTTTGCAATGAAAATTCATTTTTATGTAAAAACGAAAATAAGAGAAACAATTTTCAGTGACCTTGATCTTAACGAATGTTGTTCAGGACATGATCCTGAACAACATTCAAGAGGTTTTAGCCGTCGGACACCTTGCGTAATGCTAATGTCGGCGGTACTATAACCTTCAAGCCTTATAACTCGAAAAGTACTTCATGAAAAAATATTTTATTATAGTGTTTTGGAAAGCTCTCGAGGTGTGCTATAAGAATATGCAATAAACAATGGGTAGTTATATTTAAAAAATTCATGTTGACCTTGACCTGACCTTGGTAGTGCCCCCTATCCAAATTTGTTATTTCCATCTTATTTTCCTCAAGGAAGTCTACAATTTTCATATAAAACTTTTTTTTGTATCTTTCTTAGTTTTTGAGATATTCGCCTAGGGCGATTAAAATGCTCCACCTTGTACACAAACTATACAACTGCCGTATCTCCTAATATAAAGAAAAAAAAATGCGTGATATCAATACAAATTTACTTTTTTAGAAAAGGTAAACAAAGGCATTAAGAGTACATAATCCGTAAAAAAAAGATACTATTTTACCACAAATCATAAAACCCAAGTAATACTATCTTTATTGTACTAAATAAAAAGGTAAAACCCAAATGTGCGGTACTATTTCTATTACCCAAGTAATTTAAAACCCAAGTAGTATTTTGTACCCACACAAGTAGTTATTTTTATTATTTATTTAACTGTAACAATATGTATCTTTTGTATAAAAGATTTAATATCAACTGGCGTCAAGTTAAATCCCATACCAATCATACCAAATTAAATAAAGGATATAATCCAAGTGGTATTATGTATCTTTACCTTTTTTTTTTACAATGAAACCTAAGTATATATCTTTGCATTCCTATTGAAGGATCGTGCTATTCTGATAAAGACTTTAATTGTTACTTATATGAAATTTTTATATCGCAATTTATTCGAAGACATTTTCTCTTTCAATCAAACTAGTAGTTATTTAGTTCTCCTTCAAATCAATTCATTATTCAGACGAAATTGCGTTATTTTATCCATTCAAGTGTAACCATAAAAAATTAAAAAGTAAACACTTGACGCTGCTAGATCGGATAAGAAAAAATTCTACTATAAAAACAATTAAAAAATGTTAATTAGTTAATAAAAATTAATAATAAAGGACAATTACAATTTTAATGTAATAATGAATTTAATCTTAATATTTTTTTACACTGAATAAAAATACATTTACTGTTTATTTCTTTTTTTTTATATAACGCATGTCTTACAGATAGGTACAAGTTTATTTATCTTAGACTCAAATCTAGCAGTTTGCACAACTTTCATAACTTATACGACTGTGTAACTTAATCGCATGTATGTATATATATATATATATATATATACATATATGTATATATCTACATGATAGATACTTTTACTCTCATGGAAATATTTCTTATTTTTTTATTCTAAATATTATATTCATATTTTTAGTATTATATTATACTGTTATCTAACAGCGTTTAACAAATGTTTATTTCTTTAATTTTTTGTGGTCACACTTGAATAGACAAGGTAACGCAATTTTGTCATAATGTTTTGAATAATGTTTTGAAGGAGAATTAAATAACTACTAGTTTGATTGGAAAGGAAAATGTCTTTGAACGAATTGTGTGATAAAAATTTCACATAAGAACAATTAATGTCATTTAGATCAGAATAGGAAGATCCTTGAATAGAAATACAAAGATATATTAAAACTTAAAATACGAAGCTATATATTACAAAGATATATATTTAAGTTTTATTGCACAAAAGTTAAAGATAATTGAATTATATTCTTTGAGAATTATATTCTTTATTTTATTTGGTATAATTGGTATAGGATTTAACTTGGCGCCAGTTGTTGATATTAAATCTATTATACGAATACATATCATTAGAGTTAGTATTATTAATTTAATTTAGTATCATTTATAAAAAAGATTTAATATATATCGACATTTGACGCCAAGTTAAATACAGAATTTAACTTGACACCTTTTATTGATATCAAATCTTTTATACAAATGATACATATAATTAGAGTTAAGTAAATAAAAAAACTAGTACCATTTGAGTTTTACTTTTTAATTTGATAGAATTTAACTTGGTTAGTTAAGACTGTATCATTTATATTTTAATTTTTGATATGGTACAATTTTTTCGAGGAATAATAATTATTGACAGAAAATTAAAACTGCCATTACTTGGATTGGACTAAGAGCACCTTTAAATAAGAATAATTAAAACTACTACTTGAGTTGGAATAATAAAAAGATAACATACCACTTAGGTTCTATCCAAGAAGCACATATATTCTTAGCCTTTCTTTTTACCTTTTTTGGAAAGATAATCTATTATATGAATAATACATAAAATTTGGTAGAATTTAATTTGGCGCCAATTCTTATAACATCAAAATTTTTTTTGTACACATAATACATATCATATTAAAGTGATAAAGATAGTATCGTTTAGGTTTTACTTTTAGTATTTATCGTGGTTAGTTATAACTGTATCATTTAGATTTTAATTTTTAATTTGTTACAATAGCTTTTTCGAGAATAATTTTTAACAGAAAATGAAAGCTGCCATTACTTGGGAATAAGAGAATCTTCAATAAAAATATATATAACAGAAGAACTACTGTTACTTGAGTTGGAATAATAAAAAGATACGTAACATATTACTTAGGTTCTATTCGAGAAGCACGTATATTCTTAACGCCTTTTTTTAAAAAAGTAAGTCTGTACTGAAGTCACGTATTTTGTATTAATAAATACTACCATACAATTTCGTTTGTATTTCCTTTAGTTAAATATTAAGTTATAAAATGGAGATCAAGATCAAATAGATCATTATCATCTTCTAGCTTAATTAACAAATAGGGTAAAAGCACTACATGTGAATCAGACACTAGTTCCGGATCATTTTTTATATTTAAATAATTATAGTAATTTTCATTAAATGGAACATATCACAAGATTCTTTAACATTCGTTTTATCTCTTTCAAGTGCCAATTGAATTTAATTTATTAGGTACAGCGCTACACATTTTATTGATGTCTAACTAATTAAATGTGCGAGGTTAACTAACGTATGTATCTTTAAAAATTTATTCAAAGTGTATTATAAAAATTGTCTTATGGCTTTTATAAGTATAGTAAATAACGTTAGATTTCATGGAAAAAATCAATGTTATGCTCAGTTTAGATTAAATATGTACACGAGTGTTGTTTAATCATCATCTTATAACGATACTTTTGTCTCAATGCGTTAAGATTACGAAGTGTATATAATTCTATAGCCGAAAAAAGAACATTATTTTTTATTTGTGGACTCTTCAATTCACTCGACGGCATCTCCACAGTATTATTTTGTAATTTTTGTAATTTTTTTAGTTGTCCATTGAGCAGAATATCTAAAATCGACATATCAGATAACTTTAGAATATCTTTAAAAGTTCTTCTTTTTTTAAGGAACATCTTTAAGATATTTCATAAAAAACTTTGAAAGATATCATAAAGTTGTCTTATTCGTCAATTTTATTTGCTTATTCGGTAATCTTTAGAAATTAATGTCTCGTTAATTATTGCGAAGCTGTATACGAACGTTGTGTCAACAATTTTATCAGACATTGTACAATATAATATATATAACATGGATATTTATATAATAATATATATAAGTAATTTGTAATATTATAATTAAAATTAAATTTAAAATTATAATTAACAAATTAATTAAATTTAAATTATAAAAAAATTTTCAACACACACAAAGCAACTATAATATACCTAACATCAATGTTGATAACGTCTCATTCAACGATATAATTGTTGCATATAAAGTATGTTCTATTGCAGTTACATTATTGAGTAAGAAATCATAACATTGCATATGTGTTTACTGTGTATAAAAGGAAAAAGGCCCCATCTCTCGTTGTTAAAACAATTATTGCAGTATGTGAGACTTAAGTTAAAAGTAGATTAAGATGTTTATTTAGTGCAATTGTGTAAATTATAAAAGAACACAACACTGAGGGGAATCGCTATAAATATATCTATCTGTCTATATATATAAAAATATTTATCCATCTATCTATTATAGAAAATATTTATCATAAAAGACACCACCGCAATTTGTTACAATTGACATGGTGTCAATTGTAACACATCAATACTATGCTAATGAACAGTAAGCAACATGAAAAAAAATAGAACAATAATAATCGTGAAGTCTTAGATATTGATAAAAATAACTATCGTTAATGATCAAATATTCAATCGTTTAAACAATTACGACAAAAGAAAAATTGATTTTTTAGCCTTTTGTCAATAAATAAAATTATTACGGTCATTATTAGACCACTCTCCTCTACGGCACACTTTTCCACGTTACCCTAGAGGTAGTGTGCAATGACGCGTTTTTTTTTATAGTGGTATCCCCAATAGGCCTATTCCACTATCGTGTCTTTTTCTCTATTTGTAATAGAGGCTATTGGTAGAACGGTCTCAACATTTGTCTTTGAGCTACATTAGTAGAGAATATATTCTAAGTTTGATTCAGATTTTCTTTGGGAGCTTGTATTCCATGCACATTAGGAGACAAAAAAGAAGACCGACGGATGCACTGGATTGGGTAATAGCATATTATATTGACATTGACCCACATCTAGAACCTATTGAAGTCCGACTTGTGGCATGCGCCTCAGAGCGATATCCAAGAGTGATGTCAGTTGCTTCCTTTCTTGGTTTCCTCCTAATTACTTTGCTCCATTTAAAAAATAAAAAGAATCCAAGGGCTTGGACGTAACAGTTTGGTTAAATAAATAAATAAATAAATATATATATATATATATATCTGCGTGCGTGCGTGCGTGCGTGCGTGCGTGCGTGCGTGTGTACTATATACATAATCAAAAACAATTTAAAATTCTTACCATACACCGTCCACATCTAAAAC